TATATATATATGCAGACAATATGAGTAGTGATAAGGAAGGTCGAAAAGTTGCACATTATGTCATTATCTTACTGTAGCCACAAGAGTCTTTTCTCTTTTTAGTTTTAGTACGAATTTTACGACACTTGCAATACAGAAGGTAATAGGTGCTGAAGACTTAGAGATAATAAAAGAGAATAACAAACACAAAAAGGAGAGATAAGGACGATAGATGTTTCAAAGGAAAGGAGCAAACCACACCAGAGCAACTGCTAACCACCCACTAGGACGACTTGAACACAATATGCACATATAACGTCTTCTAGTAGTCATTATCTATTCGCTAGACAATCAGAAAAAAATAACGTTAACAATATCAGTAGTTAAGTGATAAGGACGTTCGGCAAGTCGCAGTTATCTTATTATAACCTATAACCACAAAAATCTTCTTTCTCTACATAAGAATCTCTCAGACAACCCCCCAAACAAAAAAACAAACTCGAATGAACAGTGACGGCTTGCTCAATGAAAGAAGAGTGCGGTCTACTAGTTCACTCCACAAACACCCTTTTTACGAATCTTCTTTCTCTCAGACAAGTACGAGGAACGAAGTGACACCTTTTTCAACGAAAGAGGAGTATGGTATACCGATTCCACATATTAAACACTCTTTTACACTCTTTTTTTTTACACCTCTATACACAGAAGAAGCTTCTTTCTCTCAGACAAGAAAGAGGGACAGTTTCTTCAAGGAAGGAGGGGTACAAAGTACTGATTCCACGCACTCCTGTTTTCTTTATCTTTCTATACACATAAGTTCTTTCATTCAGACAAAAAGAACGACCAACGAATAGTGACAACTTCTTCATTGAAAGAAGAGCACGGTCTTCGCCGTCCACACACTCTTTTGTAACTCTCTCTCTCTCTCTCTCTCTCTCTCTCTCTCTCTCTCACACACACACCCAAAGAACTCACAACGATCTGTTCATCACGGGCATAAAGACATCGTGAGTAACATGGGAAGGTCAGAAACGAAAAGAATGTCTGATAGTAGGAGGCCTGCCTGCCCCAGCCTTGAGAACTGGGTTAATAGGCCAGGTCGCGGTATATTCTTCACACTACCGGTACCGTCGTCACGTTGTCAGAGGTAGCCGAGGCCGCAACAACTAATTAAGAGTGCAGAGCGCAAAGATTAACTTCACTTACAGCACTGGGACCCCTTTCTTTGCATATGTAATGTCTGTTGGCAGCCATTTCTTCCAAAGCCTTTAATGCTAACCGCTAACCATTAGAGCCGGGCAACTGATTAACTGTGTCATTGCTTATACCTTCTCCACCCTGCCAACATTGTTTTAATAATACCCACCCCTGAAAAAAACAACAAGGTACAAGACAGTTAGTTTTAGTTTTAGTAGAGGTTTTACGGCGCTCGCGACTGCAAGGTCAAACGAGCGCCAGAAGATTAGAGGTGTTACAAGAGAAAGTAACAAACATAAAAAAGAAGAAGGGGAGATAAGGGCGATACATGTTTGGTAGGAAAGAAGGAGCAAACCACACCAGAGCACCCGCCAACCACCCACAACATACAAGACAAACAAAAAAAACCATGACGGCAACAAATTCAAAAGACACAACCATAAAACTATGGCTTCTCAAAAGTCATTATTTCAATTTCAACAGTATGTGCTGTGGTTTGAAACTTAACATCTTACTTTTAACTCATGCCAAGAACGAGAGGTGAGGCAATACAAAACAAATCTCTAGTGACTTAAATAATAATAAACTATGTGATACAGTAGAACCTGCCCTTTTTGTTTTAGTAAGAGTTTTGCGGCAGTTGCAACACAATAAGAACGGCATGACGGTCAGCGGTTCAAGTTCAAGACAAACACATTTACAAAACGCCACTTCCCACCACCTCCTTTTTATTCCTTTTTAAAAAAAATCACAATCACAATGGCACCGTCCAAGACAATCACAGGCTTTAAGACAACCACCTTTTCCCTCCACAATGACAATGGGTGGTTGCTTTGGACAATTTATTTTACTGAATCACTATGGGCGGTCAATGCATAAAACGTACAAGTCAGCAATGCACCGACTGAAGGCCTGGGTTCAAACAAACATGATACAGACACAAACACAGCAACATAAGAAGAAGAACGCCACAGCATAGACTGTCTACCTCCCAAAAGAATATCTCAGCATGTATGTTTCTTGTAAAAGTTTTACGGCACTTGCAACACAACAACGTCATATAATAAGTATAAATGCTGAAGATTAGATGTGTTACAAGAGTGTAACAAACACAAAATAGAAGGAGGGGAGATAAGGACAATAGATGTTTGACAGGAAAGAAGGAGCAAACCACACCAGAGCACCCGCCAACCACCCACTTATCTCAGAATATAAATAGGCCTACTAAAATTTAAAGACAAAAGCAGGCTTGCCAACTTTTTCAAGTCACATTCAGGTTTTACTTTAGTAAAAGTCTTATTCATTCAGAACTGAAATTATTATGGTTTGTCCGGAACAAAGTTCATTGTTTTCCGTTTAAGTTCATTCAATTTGCAACTCAAAATGGTTGAGGTATTTTACCCAACCAGGGATACTCAACATTACAACATCAGATTACGAAACAATGAATAAAAAAACATTAAGAGAAACATGTTTTGGTGAAGGATGATGATGCTCTCAAATTCACGATTGTCGAATCCTGGGCAGTCCCAGGAAATTTGAGACGCTTGGCAAGCCAGCAAAAGTCAATTATCGAATAAAAGACAGCCAGGAGTGAGAAGAAGCTCTCAAAGAATTTATACATTTTTTTAAAGTTCCCTCTTATCAGATAAACAAATGTGCCAGTAGCTGGAGACTGAGGTTCAGCATGGTAGGGCTGGACTCAGCACTATGGCCCCGGCGGTAAAACACCACAGCCTCAGGGACGCACGGCAGACACGGAATCTGCACAAACTAACGGTTCCTGACCACGTGCTGCGTTAGTAAGTAGGGGCCTATCAATAATTTATAATTCAGTCGATAAGCGACATCACTGACCTAGATTCAAATCTGCCTGAATAAAAACTGTTTGGAATGATATATATATGGATGAGTAGGTTTCTTTTTCAGTATGCATTCGTTATCAATGGGCAATACAGCAACTGAGCTAACACCAAGAGAAGAAAATAGGTTTTCAATGATTAAAAAGCAATATCTCTTACCCCCTCCCGTACTTCACCCAGTACACCCCCCCCCTCCTCCCCCAAGACAGTAGAAATGATCAAAGTGTCATATTTCCTGTTCTGTATTGCATGATGCAGCTCATAATAACTCTAATGGTCAAATTGAGATCATGTTTATATTACTGTCTTAACTATATGTAGGAACATTTTCTTTCTACAAATGACAAATGTGGCAAGTTTCATGGCTGTATGCTGTACTGCTATAATGACAGTGGCTACTTTTTGAACAGTCATATCTTTTTGCAAGCCACCTGAACTTAAAATTATGCTGTACAGAAGAGTTATAAAAACACAGCAAAAGGTACAAAGATCTGAAAACTGGCATGTAAGGGGCACTACACCCCTCCCCCATGGAAAAAAAACAACACAAACTAACAACACAGACAATTATGTCACTACTTATGATACTCACACACAAGACAAATGGCGATGAACCGCTCTGCCAGGGGTGGCACTGTACAGTCTGGGAAAATGGGTTGAAGGATGTACAGGGACGCGATCAGACTCAGCGCAGCGATGCCGACCGGGCAGATGAGCAGGAAGTTGATCCACAAGCACACGAAGGCTGGGTAGTCCCCGAAAGCACGTCGGATGTAGATGTACTCCCCACCTGACTGAGGTATCGACGCACCAAGCTCTGCGTAACACAGAGCACACAGCGTGTTGTAGAGGCCGCAACACGCCCACATGATCATGGAGAAGCCCACAGACTTGGTGTGCATCAGAATGCCCACGGGGGACACAAAAATCCCCGATCCAATGATGATACCTACGATGATGGCCACACCCTGGAACAGGGTGATCTGCTTCTTCAGCTGGACTGTGTCACCCATTTTTTCTGAGCGCAAGGATTAATCAGAAAGATAATATAAGGCGAAAATTTATAAATAATGCTGTTACACAATACCCGTGCTTCTGAAAGGAACAGAGGAGAAATACAGACCTAATACCCTTCCTGAGGGAATTGACTTTGAGTAGTGTGAGGTAGGCTGAGGCAAAAATTCCTCTGGACTTCAACAAGTTTTCAAACAAGTCATCAGTTCACAGTCATCCCCATTGTCCAATACGAATCTCACTGTGGCAGGCAAAATTCTCATCACTGAAAAGCCAATCGTCTCCAGAAATCGCCTGCAAAAGAAATGAAAATCTGTTAGATTGCAGTCTACATGGCCATAGCCATAAATACACATGATTTAAATGCTTTCCTTTTCAAGCCTTACCATTTCAATCTAAATTTAGTATGAAATGTATTTTTAAAACTCAAAACACTCTTTGAAACAATTTTATAGTATAGTGATCATAAAGTTAACTACATAATTCCATAAGAACATTTGGAAGCACAGGGCAACAATTAAAACAATACAATATCAAGAAAACAACTTGGCTGCATGAGACAATAAAAACAAATGACAATTTACAAAATAGTGAACAGCAGGTGCTCAGAAACTGGCCCTGCATGGAAACCTGTCAGCCAGGAAATTATAATTTTCTTCTTGTCCACTTCTTGTACATGATGACATACCTCATAGTAATGTAGATCTATAGAAAAAGTGGAATAGATTGATTTTAAAGATGAAAATATCAAGATGTGTCATGAGCAGTGGCGTTGGAAAGGGATCAAAACTATTTGTTTATGGGGTGATGACATTATGAATGATCTAACATCTTCTTGTGTTACACGTACAAATTCATTAAAGATTACCCCAGAAAAGAAACAAAGAAAAGAAAGTTTCACAAAGAACAGATACACAAACCAGAGAGATTCGTCGCGTGCGTGTGTCTCGTGCATGCATATCGTTCGATGCAATTATGTACAGTGCCTAGAGCTGTGTTTACGAGTGGGCACTAGATCTAGATCTATCTGATCTATAGAAATGTCCATTATTATATTAAAATCAGAGGACAGCTAGATCTAGTCAGTACAAACAGTCGAACCTGCTCTAACTAACAGCCACCTGTTGAAGACATTTTCAATTGGGAGTGTATACAGACCCGGTAACCGGGAACAAAGTCACAAAGTATACAGACCCGGTAGGGGAACTCTTTTGTGATTTCGGAGAGTTTCAGCGCCCTCTTGGCTCAGGGTAGACCTAGGTTCTTCTAGATCTATGGTCTAGGTCTTGATCTAGGCAGACAGACATAAATCTTTCATCTAGTTTCGCGGCTAACCTAGATCTAGATTTAAATGAAGATTGCGGATGTCGTTTCGATGAACGATGGTTTTTCCTCCGTTTTGGAATAGGAGGAATCACAATCCGAAGAAAACAACAAGTTACAATGTTATAATTTCAATCGAGCAGTCTCTCTCTCTCTCTCCTCTCTGTGTACCGATCGCCTTCTCTTTTTCTTTGTTTGTCTCTGTATTTCTTTGTCCCCACCTATTTCCCACTCTATCTTTCTCTCGTTCCCTCCTGCCAACTGGGGCATGTCATATACATTATGCTAGCCCCCCCCCCCCCCCTCTCTCTCTCTCTCTCTTTCTCTCTCTCACACACACACACACACAAAAGAATTCTACCGGGTCTGAGGTCTGAAACTTCCAGTCTACTAATCTCCGACTCAGACCTTCAAAACTTTGAACTGGGCCTAAAAATGCGCAAACTACCGTAATTTTGTCATGAACAAATCGTACAGTGGTTTTCGCTTCGGTCTTCCATCATGATTTTGGCAGCCATTCATGAGTATAATCTTGATGATATAGAATTAACTGAATTTAGATCCAGATCTATAAGACTTATAGTGTATAGTGGTCACTCGTTTCGGAAGTCCTCAATTGAGGAATTTAACGTGCTAAAGTATAAGATCACCAGCTGATCTACTTAGAGCTGATCTAGATACATCTACATCTAGATCTAGATCTAGTCGTAAGAAGTGATTGGCTTAGGTGGCCGTTGGTAGATCTAGAATCTAGATCTAGATCTATATCTAGATTCTAGATAGACTAGATCTAGATCTAGTCTAGCTGTTAGTAAGGTCTAGTCTAGAGTCTAGAGTTCTAGAGCAGGTTGAGCCATACGATTTATTGTAGCCTAGATATCTAGTCTAGAGTCTAGATCTAGATCTAGATCTAGAATCTAGATGATGCCTACAGACATGATAAAGCTGTAACTACAGGCATGTCGTGTAAAACTAATAGAACTAATCTAGTCTAGATATCTAGATCTAGATATCTAGATTCTAGATCTAGATCTAGATCTAGATCTAATTCAGAATGGAAACATTCCTAATATTTTCCATCATAAGCATGTCGATGCCTGGTTTGTAGATTCTAGAAATCTAGATTCTAGATCTAAGGGGGACAAGCGAAAACAACGATCTGGTCTAGATAGATCTAGATCTAGATCTAGATCTAGATTAGATGTAGACTCTAGTCTAGAACTAGAAGATCGAGATCGAGACACCAATTTACCCCTCTTCGGTATTAGTATTAGATTTATTACCAGAGCCATGTGGTCTGATCTGTCAACTTTCGATCGGCTCTGCGGCGTGGGAGAGAAAACGAAAGTTCCTTATCTACGTTGAAAGACCTGAACACAGCAGTAGACCACTGGTCTAATAAAACGAAATCCTGGCTAAAACAAACGCCACGAAATAGTGATAATACTGACAGGAACAAAAGAATGCATTAAGTCACCCAATAAGTCAACAAGTAAACCCACTCGATCGGACAAAGAACAACACTCATCACATCATAGGCTAGTCTACCTGTGTAACTGAGAGAGAGAAGCGGTCCCAAAATCCCATCCAGGGCTACTCTTTTCCCGCCAGTCAATGAATACTTTATTTGTCCCGTGTGCCAACCCAGTTCGTCCGCCGTAACAAGTTGGTGGCAGGCAGTAGGCAGGCAAAGCAACGTGTGTTGAGAGGGGAAATAGGAAGTCCAGACTGCAAGCTATTCAATTCTATGGAGGGGGGGGGGGGTTCGTTTCAATATTCACGAAGGGAAAATGTTTTACTTTTGTACAATTACTTGATTGAGATAAAAAAATAATTAACACTTTTATATTGCTAACTAATTTATATCTAGGTAACGCAAAGCTGTGTTTAGCAAAGAAGGCACACTTTTTCAGATTGAATCTACAGAAGCTGACCTCCCCTCTGTTTCCGTCAATGGTTCTGACCTTGATCTTGTGGGCGTGTGTATAGTCGGAACCAATCACTGATGTGATGATGAAATCTCTTGGTCGCGGTCGGAGACCCGCGAAACAGTGCTGTTGGTCCTTCTCAAGCAAGAGAGGATCAGAGGATGAAAGTAAAGTTACAGTTATGAACTATGAATCTAGATCTATCTAGGTGTTGATAATAGGAATCACCTTTCAGACATGAGGGGGAAAAAAGCAAACATACCGTTGCCAACCCACACTCTACCCATAGACTGTTACTAAAATTAAGCTATTGCTTTCTAGGATGAGTATCAGAACGTAGATCACCAGCCTAGATCTACTCAGAAATGTTCCAGACCAACCCCGCCCATCTCTCTCTCTCTCTCTCTCTCTCTCTCTCTCTCTCTCTT